ATCTTGCTTTTGAAGAAAGTTCCTTTTCCATTGAAAGGTTAACTGAAAAAATTATGGATTCATACACAATTGTAAAGAACAACACAGGGACCCAAGGACACAGGTCAGTGAGACCAATGCACAGCTGTACCAGCAAAGTTCTGCCAGGCTCTCGTGTTGCATGCCATTCCTTGAGTATGTCTTATTGATGTAGGAAATGCCCACCTTCTTCAGATGGCCCACGGGACATGTTCTTAACATTTGCTGTGTACACTGGTCTGTGTCCCATGGTAAGCCTGTATTTCCACCACAGTCAAGATGAAGATAATCAATGGCCACTTTGTCCTCATCCAGATACCTTGTACCTCCTAGTGAGTATTGTGCCCCTGAATCTCTCTGGACACCCTAGATCTTAATTGCATCTTCTTCAGAAGGGTTGGTTAGGCTTAGGCTTAGGGTTAGGGTCCTGATCTCCCTGTCTGCCTCCTCCATTTCCAGAAGAGAATAACATCATCATTGCTGAGCTGAGTGGACACTTGGCTTGACTTCTTTGCTTTTGAGGGTAGACTTGGAGGTGTCAGCCTGGTGTCTTCCTTTCTGGGAACAACTGACATGGCCATGTGCCCTATGAGCTGGAGTAGGTTATGTGGTGCTTTGGGGTGCAGAACAAAGTAAGAATATTCCCATAGGCAACTGGAGGTGTTCTGAGGGAAAAATGAGGTGATGAGACTGAGAGAGGTACCAGATAAGGTCTGTGGTTGCTGTTAGGGGAGATCCCACCTCCAGCAGTGAAGATCACCCACAGTAATGTTCAGGCCCCATCAGAGTACCCCAGAGACTTCTCAGGGCCTCCATCTAGTGCTTGCTAGCCATGTGGTTAGGAGCTTCTGGCATCCTACCATCTTTTCTTTTTCTCTAGAACCCTCCGGGCAGAGGGCAGAGGACTTGTGGAGGGTGGATCTGCGCTGGCCCCAATGGCCTGTTTTCAGGGTTCCACACCACTATCTCTGTTCACATAAACACATGCTCACATAAAGCTCTTACATGCTCACACATTTGTGTACACACACACACACACACACACACACACACACACACACACACTAATGCTCAGATTGCCTGACTGATGGGCAGAAAACACTCCCTTGCCATCCCTGCCAGTGTCACCCTTACCCTGCCTAAAACAGGGACTACAGCCAGATACCAATCAACTGGAGGAAAATTCCTCAGGCTCCCTCTGGCCACTGATTAAGGTGTAGATCTGCCTGTGATCACCTTTTTTAGATGTTGCTGGCATAGCTGATGCAGAGTCCCAGCCTGGGAGATACCATGGCAGCCCCTCTGCTGCTGGTTGACACTATTGTTTAGCAAACTGTTCCAGCATTCAGCTACTGCTCTCTCTCTCTCTCTCTCTCTCTCTCTCTCTCTCTCTCTCTTAGACTTTAGTATCCTGTCCGTGTTTACTCTTCAGTGGGGTCTCTGAAGAGACGCCAGGTGGTTTGTGCCCTGGGTGAAAGGGTCAGAAAGCCCTCTGGTGTGAGGCCGGAAGGGACTAACACTAAAAACCAGGTGTGGAAACCAGAGCGTCGTGAAAGACAGTATCGCAATGGGCTCTCAGCCTATGCTCCCCTGGTTCTGGGGAGAAGCTGAAGTCTATTCCATGCCATAGGGTCATGATCGTCACTTGTATATTGGCTGGCATGATGCTTAGAGGGACTTGGTGTTGAGTTCACCAGGAATAGGCTCCGAGAGGCCCTGGGGCATGGAGCAGGTGTTTCTAGCATTAAAAACAGACTTGGCTATGACTCAGGGCCATTTGGCTCGAGGGCCAGCCAAGTTCCTGCTGATCCTCTCTTCCTGCTGCTCCATGTCCCCTCCCCTCCCACTTTTATCATTTTGGTAGGCGTTTCAGATTTTATGAATGACAGCCCCAGCCAAGAATCTTCAGCGTGAAGCCATTGCAAAGGTCCAGATTTAAAAAAAAAAAAAAAAAAAAAAAAAAAAAAAAAAAGGGGCCTCCTGACCAATCTCTTTTGCCTGGAAGAGAACATGGCCTGGAAAATGCATCTGCCATTGCTGTGACCCAAACTAGGGCCAGGTGAAAGGTACCCATTCTGGGAACATGCCTGTCCACTTTGGGGCAGAGGGGCTTCCGTCTGGGGGGGGTGCGTCTTGCCTGGAGCTCATGAGGGAGGAAAGCTGATCTCTCAGCTGAACATGAGACTCCTCACCCCACCAAAAACTGAGAGACTCATGCTCAGCTCCCCCAAGGTTCCAACATTCAGAGCAGGTGACTGTTTCCTCTGCAGAGCCCTCCGTGTATCCTCTCCCAAAATATGTTTTTCACACACTCATTAGGCCTCTTGTACCCTCATCGACACCTGTGAATGAAGAGCTCTCTCTCTCTCCAGTGCAGGGCGCAGCAGAATGCAAAGAAAGGAAGCTGTCTCTTAACCTTGGTGACCACCTAGGCACAGGAGGCTGGGCCGGGGCACAGGCCTGCCTCTAATCGCCAGGAAACACTGTCCTTCTCCAGCTGTTTGCCGGGCCTCCAGTTAAATAAGCCTTTATTAAAGTGTGAGGGGTTTGAGGAAATAGAATTCAACTGAAAGAAGAGAAGTCGTCCTGAGGTGATTGTACACTGGATGGGGACATTTCCCCACTTGGACCCCTCAGAGCTCCCGAGGTGCTGCTCTGATCTGAGTTCTAGCCGCTCTGGGGAGGCAGTGGCATCAGTGCCCCGAAGGAGTTAAGGAGCACTTCATGGGGAACACGGGCTTCCAGCGTGATTTTGTTTGTGAGCTGTGTGCAGTTACCAGTTCTGAATAATAAGGTGGCTTGTTAATTACCCCCCCTTCTAATTTACCTTTCTGCCGCACACAGGCAACGGGAAGGTTTACGGGGGTGTTCTTTCAAACCTAAACAACGCCGGGCCTTGGGGTGGAGGGAGCTCTGCCGCCTTCGTGTCGCTGAGGCTCTGAAAGGATCCCACCAGCCAATTAAAAAAGAACCGTTGGCCACTTAAAACATAGTCATTACTTCTGTGAATGCTGCTAAATTAAATAAGTGTTATCGGCATGATTTTTTCCCCCGAGACTTTGGTTTCTTTTGAAAGAAAACATTTTGTTACTTCCCCAGCCGGTTTGTTTGCAGCCAGTGTGGGGAATCTGAAATCGTTTTTTCTTGTACTTGAAAGTTCTTGTCTCCCTGGAGGCTTCTATTTCACCAGCCAATGTCAAAGAGCAGGGAGGGGCGTGGGACGTGACTCCTGGGTGACTTCCACAGGCCAACAGACCAGTAGTAGGATGGACCTGACATGGGAGATCCGGATCAGGGGTCAGCACACTTGAGTGAGGGCCGGACCTACCTCCTTCCACCACACCTCTGGCTTTCCTCACTGACTGAGGTCAAATTCACAGAACAGAAACAAGTAACCATGTGAAAGCAGCAACCCTGTGGTACTAAGTGCACTTCCCTGTGTTGTGCAACCAACCTTTATCTCTAATTCTGGAACATTCTCACCACTAGTCGGGGAATCAGCACCCATTAACAGTCACCCCCCAGCCCCTCCCAACCTTCACAGATAGAAGCCTGGTATTTGCCTTCCATTTTACACAATGCGATTTTAAAGTCTTAGTGGGCAAATAACGATCATTTGTATTGATAAGACACTGTAGTGTTTCTACCCATGTGCACACTGGAAAATGAGCAAGCCTTTATAGGAATCGTGCAATCACATGTTGGGGAATGAGTAGGGATTTATAGGCTACAGTGTGATATTTACAGTGTGTACACATTGTTGGCCTTTAGAGTAGTCAAGTCAGGGTGACCAGCAATGGTACCTCTGTGTGGGAGGGGCAGGGAAAGGGAAGAAGCTAGATAGATAATGAATGTAGGTATTCCTGGGCACAGCAAGATGGCATGGTTAGTAGTAATATGCTGGGTGTTTCAAATAGCTATAGGACAGCACCCCCCACCCGCCCGCCTCAAGCATTCTGGGTAGTTTGTATGCTTCTGAGGTCTGTCTGCATTCTGCATGCTCCCAGTGGATAGACCCTGGTGTGGCCAGAGCACAGTCTCATCATTTGTTTGTCTGTGCTGCCAGGGGCTTCAGCTGGTCTGGCCTTCTGGCTGCTTGAGTCCTTGTTGGTTTAAAGCCCTGTTTGTGGTGCTGTGGGGTACACACCAGAACGGGATTGTTCTCCTCCCTGCCTGATCTCCTCCTTGCCTTCTCAGCCATCGAAGCCTTAGTGTGCCAAGGTGCTCCTTTTATATTCCAAGTGGCTCTGTCTTGACATCAACCTCTGGTTATGATAGACCCTAGAGAGAAGCCCAACCTCCACAGATAAACCTGGGGACCCCTCTTCCTTTTGCTCAGTCCTGTGATCTGCAGCTCAGGTACCATGTCCTTGGCCACAGCTATTCCCAATCTGCCTTGAGGTCGGCAGGAACTTGGAGAAACCCCATACAGGACCTGGATATCCCAGTGTGATGTCTGGAGCAGCTTGATGCTGGGGTAGCAGTTTTTAGCAAGTCTTGCACAAAGAACTCAGATCCTGAATTCTCTTCAAAACATCCCAGTTCCCTCATCTCTGAGGCCACATACAAGCACTGGAATAATCCACAGCAAATATTTCACCTTTCCCATGACAGCCTTGTCTCCCCTGTTTCTGCTTCTCCGCCGCAGAGCTGGGCAGCACAGCCTCAGTGGCTGCAGAGATGAAGATGCCCACCTTTAACATACTTGGAAACAGTGAACAAATGAGGGACAGCTCTGCTATGCTGCCTATAGCCTGTTAGTCCCTAGAGGAGCATGGTGGGATCTGCTCCCTGGAAGTCGCTGGCACCGCATGCCCGCTGCCAGGTTTGGGATGGTGCAGAGCTCCCACCTGCTAGGGAAGGTGTAGCGCTGGAATTCTGCTGGGCCTCTGGTGCCCCCCGCCGCCCCGTTCCATGAGGGCCACATCCCTGGGGAGTCCCTTGCTACAGAGGCTGATGCTACATTATCTCTTTAGGTGACGGTGACGTTGTAAATAATATGTATGAACCCGACCCGGACCTGCTGGCCGGCCAGAGTGCTGAGGAGGAGACCGAGGACAGCATCTTGTCCCCCATCCCTATGGGGCCGCCGTCCCCCTTCCCCACCAGCGAGGACTTCACCCCTAAGGAGGGCTCGCCCTATGAGGCTCCTGTCTACATTCCTGAAGACATTCCAATCCCACCAGACTTTGAGTTGCGGGAATCCTCCATCCCAGGAGCTGGTCTGGGGATCTGGGCCAAGCGGAAGATGGAAATTGGGGAGAGGCTTGGCCCCTACGTGGTGGCGCCCCGGGCCGCACTGAAGGAGGCTGACTTTGGATGGGAGGTGAGTATGCTCACTCTGAGCATGATTGATCGTGGCCATTTATCTTGTGTTCAATCTATTTATAAAGCCGGTGCAGCCACTGCCCCAGGCAGGAGGCTCGGTCTGTTGGAGAGAGAGCGTTCGAATGTCACATTTCCCAGGGTTATTTTATCCAGCAGCTCGCATGACGTGACTCAGAAAACATTGTGGTCCCCTCGGACACCCGTCAGCCCCGACGTCGGGCTGAGGCACCCTCTACCCGGAAATGTGTCGTTTATGAGTTCATGTTTTAAAACGTCTCGTGCCTCCTACTGGATAGAGGTGCTAACCCATCCCCATTGCAGGACAGTCAAGTGTTCCAGAAGAAGCCACTTAATGCTGAGAAATCCATTCCATCTCCATCAGGGTGAGGCAGCTTACAGAGCAGGCCTGGTGGCCGTGCAGCCCCCGCAAACTGTAACCCATTGGCAAGGCTCCTGACCAACCTTAAGAGGCAATCCATTCTCAGATTTGGGAGCAGAAGCCTTGCCTATTTAAACTTCCTTATCACATCCTCATGGACCTTTGTGGGCTGCAGTTCATCTGAGTGAACCTGTGCAGGTGGATTGGGAAGGATTGCGAGTTAGGTGAGAGAGTGCTGTAATCTAGGTGTGCCAGGGGTAGCTCCGAAACAGATGTATCCAGAGGTGTCCACTCAGGCCGTGGGGGCACACTGAACCCCGCTTTGAGGGGGCTTGTCAAGGTAGCCTCGTGGGAGGTAAGAATGCCACAAAAGCACGTTTTCCTGTAGGCCCTGGCCTTCCTGCGGCCCACAGGGCTGGTTTCCAGTGGTAATTTTGGCAGGAAGCCTGCCTGGGTGGAAAGCAGGAATGAAAATCCAGATTCTTTTTGGTGTTTCACAACCTCCACAAGTGCCTGTGTGGAGGTCAGTGCCAGGGAGGGCAAATGGTCCAGGGGAGGGAGAGAGCCTGTTAGCCCTGCTGTGGTTCCCTTACCATGAGTCTGGGGGTAGCTGTCATGTGGGACAAGGGTCTACCTTGGTCTGTCTGCCTCCCCCAGCCCTTGACAACCTTGAGAAAGTTTTCAAGCAAATGTGGGCTTTGGCTTTCTTTGTAGAGTGAGGAAAGACTTAAGGCCTGGCATTCTCCCCTGGCTGTTTTAGAGTCTCCAGACTGTGCGCACCAAGACTCCACAGCTGCCTAGAAACTGATGAATTGTCCTCTTACAGATAGTTTCCTCTTCCAGACCCTGGGAAACTCTGGATGCTCCAACAAGCACCAAGGATTTCCCTTGGTCCTGTCATGTGTAAAGCCTCTTTGGGGGATAGCACTGAGAGCCAGGGGAGCTGATACATCTGCTGGTGGTAACTAGATCACATTCATGTGACCTGCGAAACTGAGGTTGAGGGCCTGGACCTCTGGGTGTCTCAGAAGGCAGGCAGAATGAGGCCCCTCGTGTCACAGGGCCTTGTTTAGTTTGTTGTCGGGGCACTGGGGCTCTCATCTGAGTGTGAGCTGCCCTCGCTTGTTCTTCAGAGAGCTTGGGGGGCACAGGTGAGAAGCTGTGTTGACCAAATGGATGAGGAGATGGATGAGTTGGGCTTCACAGTAGTCCAGCATGGTGGGAACTGTAGCTAATCTGCCATGTCTTCAACCATCAGCGGTAACAGATTCAGGGGATGGGAACCAAGGTTGAGATCGTCTTTGGGCCTGACTGGCTGGGGCCAGGGAACCAGGTGAGGCAGGAGAGGAGAGTATGGAATCCAGTCCGTCTGGCAGGTACACACGTGCTTTGCAGCCCAAGGGGAGTGTTTTTTAAACAACATGGCAGTTGAGTGCTTTGGGCTCAGTTGGATTTGGCTTTGTGGAGGGCCTCTCCACCCTTCCCTGCTGGTGTGCTGGAGATGGTTGAAGGGTATTTGTTTAACGCACTTAAAAGATCTTCGCTATTTAATCAGTAGGCTAGCTTTTAGTTGCTTGGAGGGTAAACAGACCTTGGTAATAGGTAGTTCTTTGGATGACCTTGAAGTGACTTTGTTCTTGTCTGCTCTGCGGCTGATACAAGTTTCTGTTTGATTTTGGTTTTTAAAGAAATGCCCCATATCACAGAGGCTCCCTGGGTGCCAGGCCTGGTACAGGCGGCACTATCACTCCTCTGGGCTTGCTGACTTTTGCAGTGCTGTTTACTCTCCCTGTGTAGGTACTTGAGAGTGAGTCCGCTCACCCACCCCCATTTCTACTATGAAGAGCTTTGTCCTGTAGTGGTGACCTGACTGACTTCGGACTGGACTTTCGTGAGGGTGCTTAGAAATAGCTGGCCCCAGCAATGCCCTGAAACAGTGTCCTAGATGCACCTAGCCTGAGCTCATCTAACCTTGTTTTCTTTGTGGGTTCAGGCAGCCATCGTCTGTTTCTGTGACCCTTTTCTGGGCTTTGTGTCCTTCTGGCCACGCAGTTGGATCATTGGAGCCGTTGACAGGATTGGAGTGGAAGCTGGTGCTGTCCAGGGAGCAAAGAGGAGGCTCCTGGGGAGGAGGAGCCTAGAGTCAAGGATTAGGTCAGAAGTGGGTTCTGCTCAGTCCCACAGGCTGGGGCCCCTGGGTCTGGAATAAGCACTGAGACCCCCTCTCCTCACAACTTTGCTCTAGTTTTTCATGTGCGAGCTGTACTTTTTTGTGTCCCTTGCACTGTTTCTTTGTCTTCCTCGAAGTACAAAGGTAGCTGGGCAAAGTCAGTGAGTTCTGGTGACCCTCCAGGCTTTTTCTAACTTACCCAGCCTGCATGCCTTTTCTCCCGATCATGGCTCAGGACAGAAAGAAAGCCCAGGATCCAGGGCCCAGGTCTCTCCTGAGCCCAGGGAAAGGAACCTTCTGTTAACCACCCCAGCTGCTTATACCAGGTGGCCTGGCCACCAGCCCTCTGTACCTCTGCAAGTGCGGAGAGAAGCAGGGGCTACCAGAAAGTGGTAATGTGTAAGTATATTGATGGCTGGGGGCTCCAGTCAGGCTCAGGGCAATGTGAGGTACGCATGGGTGTCATCTCAGAATGGCCCCAGATTGCATATATAATTATTCACTCTCACCCTCATAATTAGGTTCTGTGAATCAGAGTAATTGAATCTTGAGACCATTAATGCGGTACTCATTTGCTTCAAGAGAGTAAGTGGTGACATTTTAGCAAAGATGACAGATGAAGGCTGAGGAAGGTCCGTTCTGTTTGGCTTCCCCAGGGAGCGGCCTAGGAGTGAGGTGCACCAGTCTGTGGCCAGTCTGCACTCCAGAGCTTGGGTCTCTGGAGAGGCCTACAGAGGAAATAACACTATGGTCTTCTGGAGGCCAGTTTGAAATGAAGGTCAGACTTAATGTTTGTATCGTCACTTGGGATACTATGGGCATACTTTATCTTTGCTGAGAGCAAAGTTCTTGCTTCAGATGATAAAATGAGGAGATGGGTACGGAGGCCTGGCTAGCATGAGGTTTTGGGGTGACTAGGGGGGGAAAGTTCAGCTTTTCCCCACATGGGTCAGACAAGGTTGACTATACAACCGTGGATCAGACAGTGACATGCGATGGCCTTTGACTTCCTGTCCCTGGTGGTGGGGCACTCTCACCCTGGGTAGACTCCCCTGTGACAGAGCAGAGCTAGGGGTGCAGAAGCTGAGCCTGTCCTTTTCCATGTTCATGTGGGTCTCGAATCCCATCTCTTGTCCAGAACTGGCCCATTCCTCTCGTATGTACTGGAGACCTTCAGTGACTTCAAAGCCCCCTTCCCTGAATGTTTTGGGACCATCAGGTTATGACTCTTGGTCATTTTTGGAAGGAAACATGTCAGACGTCCTGAGCCTGGCTGATGGGTCTATATGTGGGCATGAGTGTGGGTGTGGGTGTGGTTTCAATGCCTGGACATCCCTGTGGGCTCTGTCCCTATTCCCAGGCTCCTCCATCTGGCCACCACCCCTCCACCCCCGTCATGCCCTGCTTACTGACACGAAGCCTTGCACTCACCCTGCCGGTGGGAATAAATCACCCCATGATTGCATTTTATTGCCCTGAGGTCTGCAAAAGCAATGATTTTGATCATGTGTTGAGTAAATTATGACATTTATCATTGTGCTATTTATTTTGCTAATTAAGAGATGGCTGCTGTGACAGCCCAGAGGGATGGGCTATGGATGGGCTGCTTGGAGGCCACCTGCCCCAGGCAGGGTCTGCAGCTGTGTTCCTGAGCTTGCTTGGGTAAGGCAGGGTACCTGGGGGAGGTACTGGAGACAGGCTTCTCACTGACATTGGCCACTCCTCTCCAGAGTAAGACCAGGTTCTTGTGGAGGATGTCTCCTCCAAAAAGTCACTCTCTGAGATTGTGTTGACACAATTGTCACTCCAGAAAGTCACTCTCTGAGATTGTGTTGAGTCTGTGATTGACACACAAGCATCATCTGCTGAATGAATGTGTCTCCCAGTGTTTAAGAGGTGTTAATGTGAACTGATGGCTTTTCAATCATCTCACGAATTTGCTCAAGTGGACCGCCTCATTCCCCTGAGTGAGGGTCTGAATATTAATACATGCATTCATTTATTCAATCAACAAACAGGGGGAGGTAGGGGAAACAGCCTGGAAGCCTCAGCCTGCCCCATTCCTCCCTCTGTGCCACAGCCTCTGCCTGTTCCTTCAGGGTTCCTGCGACCCACAGATGTCTTTGAAGAGAGTCAAGATTTACTGATCACTTAAGGACCCCTGAGTTACCATAATGACCAGAGATGTCAGGGCTGGAAGGCACTGTGGATGAAAGCCACCTAGCCCTGCTGTCAGGTTCTGAGAACCTTCTGCACATTTAATGTGAGCCTGTGACTCCAAACACCAGCCTTGAATAATAGCTTGGCCAGAAAGAATGTAATGTGTGCTTATGTACGTACATGTTAGCCATCTCTGTACATTGCAGGGACTCTTGGCCTTTCTTTTCCTGAGAGTGAGGAATGGGAAGCACAAATTTGGGAGAGGGGAGGAATGGTGGGATGGCAATGT